AAGGGAATGATAATGCTGAAAAAGAAAACCCAAAGCTGGATACCAAATATCTCTCTCCTTGAGTACACAGCATTTCTCTTCACAGGATATCCCCTGTGGTCATGTTCTGCCTAGTAGCTGGTTTATTCCCTTTTTTAATGTGTCATGAAAAGGAGTTCGTTTTCTCAAGTCACCTCTCTATGAGTCTAAGGCCTCAGCCTGTAATCTCTTGATCCCACCAGAAGAATGAAAAAATTAAAGTCAATTAACATTGTCATCATCCCTGAAGGATGTATTCTATTTACATTGAAGGTCGTTTGCTGGAGAGCCTTGTGTTCTAGGCTGAAAACAAACCCTTTCTATTACTACCTTGGTTCTAAACTTTCCTTAGACTATTAAGTGAAAATTTACCTACATCTTGAAGGCAGCAAAGATGTACCCAAGACCCTCATCCAAGAGACAGATTGCATCTTTCCCTACAAAGTGTAGAAACCACCTACATTTTTAACTAGCTTTATGGGGTGCCAAGAGAGGGGTGGTACTTTGCATCCAACATTAGCATTTTGAGGGCTTTTTGACCCTATGAACAAACTGACTCATGAAGCTGAGTGCATAAGTTCTGAGGACACAACAGTTAACAAGACAGTCTAATGAGTCTAACATTTAGACAAATAGCCAAGCTGCTTTAGTAGCCATGATAAGTATCACAACAGGGCAGCCCACAGGATTGTGGGGACTCAGAACAGCACTATATTTTAAAAAGTGCCAAACACATTTGAAAGCTGCAGCCTGGAGGTCAAATTGCAATTAAACCTCCTGAGTTTTGACACTTGGCAATTCAGGCTTCCCTCTACAAAAACAAACAACCATACCACCACCAAAACCACATACTCTGCCTTTTTAAATAAGGTTCCCATGACATCCTAATTCTTGTGAAGCAATCTTTCTAGAAGTGGAAGAAATGTTAGAAAATATCTATTTTAAGTATCTGTTAAAAGACATGGTATCAGAAATTTTAAAAATAGAGGAACCTGAAAGTAAAGAATAGCTGTGCCTTAAAACCATGAAGTAGTTGAAACACAATTTAATATGTTGTGTAGAACGTACAGATAATTTTGCATTTCCTAGAAAGCAAAATTTATAATTGTTTTTATTATTGTTTAATTGTACTGCTTTTTAACATCAAAATTATCATATATTTATTGTCGTAACGAACAGTAAGTAGGAGTATAGTTTTGCAGAAACAGAAAATGTACTTAAATCTTAGCTCTACCACTTTCTTGGGAAAATTATCAGCCTCTCTAAGCTTCAAATTGTGTAATTTTAAAATGGAGATTATTGTGATAGTGAAAGGAATGTAAATGTTATTTTTTCACATTGTAAGCACTTAATAAATGTTAGTTTTTTATTGTTGCAAAATGAAATTCAGAAAATTCAGAAAAATTTGAAGGAAATAAAGATTATCCTTTGTCCCACTACAAAAGCCAAACACAATTAAAGTTGAGGGTTTTATGCACATTTTTTCCCAGGGTATGTGTTTGTATGTCTTTATTCCAGAGATAAGAATTTTTTCAGTATCTAATACATAGCTTTTGAAATACTTTTCAACTGGACTGTATATTAGACATCTATTAATGTCAATAAATATGGACATAAGTCATCATTTTAACAGCTGCCTTCTATTCCACTGTACGGACATAACAATATTTTATTAATTTTCTATATTATTTATGATTTTTACATTTTTACTTTTTGCTACTATTTTTTAACTCTTATTTTTAAAACACACATATAATTTTTTTGAAACACACATAATCACTGTCTATATGAGATTTTAGCATCTGTCCTGTTTGTTATTTATAGAAATGTAACTGTTCAGTCGGCAGATACACAACTTTATATGTTTGATTACTATCATCAAATTTTCCTTCAGATTTCATACCTCCCACATGCTGTATAAGAATGTCTTCAACAACACTACATTGAAGGCTAGATGTGCACCTTGGCACAGGGCTCTCCATGCCCTGATATTCTGATGACTCAGGTCACTGTTCTTTTCTGTGTATGTCTTGGCCCAGCTAGAGACCTGGCCTGAATTGGTGAATACTTAGCCAAGTCAGAGTTTCTACTGGATACGTGATTCTAGACAAACATCTTCCTTAAACTTTCTCAGCCTCAGTCCCTTCACTTGTAAGATGGGGATAATATGCACACTGTGGTTGAGAAAATTAGAAGAGGTGATAAAACAAAATGTATAGAACCCGATTCATCATAAGCACTTACGAAATATGTGCCCTATTCCTCTTTCTTTTTGTAAACTGCAAGTTTTTGTGCCATAGCACCTTGTAAAAGATAGTCACTCAAAAACTTGGGTTGATATTTTGAGTCCTTTTACTCCTAAAAGGCTATCAGGAATAATGGATCAAAGAAGACATCTATGGAGTTAACTAGTCTTAAAGAATGAAAAGAGGTGAGAAAGAAGGAGGAAAAGGATGGGGGGAGGGGGACGATGAGGGGGATAAGGAGAGGAGGAGGGAGAAGAGGGGGACGTGGATTTTGAAGACAGGCAGACCTAGGGTCAGATCCCAGTCTTGCCACTTACTAGCTGTGTGAATTGAAGTTTTGAGTTAACTTCCTTGATCCTATCCTCAGTTTTCTGACCAATAATGTGCAGTTAAGGACTTCTGTCTCAATGTGTTCTCATCAGGATTTATTGTGAGAGTGCTGGTCAAGTATTCAGAGTTCATTCAGACACACACCAAATGTTCAGCAAAAGGTAACTCTTATCTGTTATTGCCATTACTATTTCCACTTTTGACATTATTATTCCATTATTATGTCTATCACTGACATTATTAAACATCATTTCTTGTGATTAACACTCTAAGAAACCCTCATGACTTAGCACAATAAATCTACTATGGCCCCTTATGATCCATTTGAGTGTAATTTATCCATTCATCCAGGGAAAGGCTAGAGTCACACATGTCTTACCCAATCTAGAGTTTTCCAGATAAACAATGACCAACCAATTAATACAGGTTAACTGTATTAATTAATTAATAATTAATACATGTTTGTTGTAAGTGACTTAGGAATCAGGATGAACTTAGCATGGAAACAGCACCTCTTTTTTTTTTTTTTCCTTTTTGTCTTTTTTCGTGACCGGCAACGGGATCGCAACCCTCGGTGTTGTGCCTGCCCCTTGCTCAGCCAGTGAGCGGCCGGTCTGTATGTGGGATCCGAACCCTCGGCGGGAGCGCCGCCACACTCCCAAGCGGCGCACTGTAGCAGTGCGCCACCGGGCCGGCCCACAGCACCTCTTTTTATCTTTTGCATTTTCCAGACAATTTGCTCATCTTTCATCACCAACAACCATTACTTTCAATCTATATCTATGTACCTGTATCCATATCTGTGTCTGTCTATCTATACATGTATCTTTATGTATAAATCAATGTATCTTCCTTTATTTTCACTCATCTATTTACTGATTTGTTTTTGTTTTTGTATTTTGTTTGCCACAAAAGAGATAGAGGATGTAAGACAAGATCTTGAACCAGAATAGATGGTGACAGACCCAGTCCATTTGCTGTTAACAGGTGATGATAAAGGAAATCTTCAGGGCAAGTGTTTTCTGACAACTGCACCATAACAAAGCTCGCAGAGATGAAAACGGAAGAGTGCTTTTTGCATTTTATCTGAATACAAATTCATCAGACTATATAAAATAGTATACAGGTAGAAAGCATGTCAGAGAGACAATATACATGGGTTTGCCAAGGAGACGTAGCTCTTCTAGGTCACGGTCTTCCACAGCTCCAAGTTATGCACATACTCTACAGGGAAGCCAAGCCACATGCTCAGAGGAAACTTATCTGTACTCTCTCATAGAAAGAGGCCTTTCTAATAAATGAATAACTGATGCTTAACCCCCTCTAAAGTGTCAACACACTTTTCAGTAAACTCCGTAGATGAAAGCCTCTCTAGAATAGTCTGTGCATGTCTCTGATGAGTTAAATAGAGGTTCCTAACTAATTTAGATTTTCATTTGTTCAGCAACCCAATGTTGCATTGTGGGGGAAATAAGTTTTTGTCTGCTTTGTTGTTATTTTTTTCCTCCTCTATTCTTAAGCTGTCAAGTCTTCTATTGATATTTTCACTGTTTCTGACAACTCCTCTTCCTTTTCCAAGTCACTTATATTTAATCTGCTGGGAGATGAAGGAAAAAAGAAAGCAAATAACCAAGCTTGCTAAATAAAGTGTGTTTAATAAGATTTCATGAGACCCCGCAGGAGAGCCAGGAGTGACTTCATTCATTAAATTCAATCTACAAATATTCACTGGGCTTCCATTCTGCAAGCCCTTGTGATGGTCCACGGGTTATGGCTTGTCTTAGGCAATAAAGCACTATTGTTTGGGGTCTGTAGCTTTTGAAAAAGTATATTTCTATCTTCAGAAGCCTTTTTAAATGTCTGAGTTTATAACTAAATTGTGAATGGCCAATACTGTAAACTACTGACCTCTGAAGATTTAGTTAGTGCACTATGCTGCCTGTACATGTACAGATTTCCATGTCCCCAAAGCATCAACACACATAATCTTTTGTTTGGATCCTGCATTTGAGGTAAGCAAGGTTGGAATGTTTATCCACATCTTAGAACACATTGAAAGGAGGCTAATAAACTGGGAATCATTTCAAATCCTTTAAAATAGACTAGAATTGACTCTCCACTTAGGTCAAAGCCCATGCATGCTCCAAGCCCTTGTCCAAGCATCAAAGAATGAAAATTTCTAGATCTCCCTTATTGCCATGCCTAAGATCTCGTATTGGAAAGGCCACTGGCCCAGGAATCAGGAGACTTGGGTTTTAGTGTGAAATCTTTAGGGAACTCACAGTGAAGCATCTCTGGACCTTAGATTTGTCTCTTTTCCTCTGTAAGATATGAATAATCATATCTTCCTCATAGGATGAAATGATGACATATTTTAAAACACTATTATGAAGCAAAGTGTATTACCAAGACCCTCTGCAGTTTTGGATCTAACAAGACATATAGAAAAATCATTTTCCCCATTGTGGCAGAGTCCTGCCTGCCACTTTACAGACCTCCCTCCCTGCAGGAGGCATCAGTGAAAGCCCCAAGATAATAGAGACAAAAGAAGCTGTCTGTCTATGATGTTTCTCTGGCCCCACTTCTCATCTCATTCCTTCCATTCTAGGCTGGGCAGGAGGAGCAATTCTGGGAAAGACTACAGTCATTCTGAGCCTCCCCAGGAACTTCGGTGTGTTTCTCTCTTGCTGGCCACTGGCTGTCCTAAGGTCACGCACAGGGAAGAACACCAGCTCCATCCAGACTCCCTGAAAGAATGTCAGCGATGCATGCTAAAGAATAACAGATGTGAGCTTGCTCCTCCTGCACACTCTGATCTGAGGCCGGACATCAGCTCCCCTGGATGTGGGGCCTTGCTCAGGGGTTTTGACAGCAAGCACCCAATAGTCCCCTCTACAGTGTAGGATCGCAGGCCACTGCCTTATTAATTCTGGAATGTCATAGAGAGATGAGAGTGGTTAAGAAACTAAAGTAGACAAACCTTGGTAGATTCTTGGTTCTGATACTTTCTAGCTATGTAACTTTTCTAAAAGTATTTTCTGTACTTCTAAAAAGTGTATAGCTACATTTTGTAAAGATTTAATGAAATACAATAATGTAAGATACACATTAGTGCGTGACACAAAGTGCATGCTTATAATTTATTAATCTCCCTTTTCCTTCCACAAACTACCTAGCAGATCCAACGGAAACCACACTGTTCCCTGTGAGAGAGGCTGATAAATAAGATCTTCAAGATCTTCAGGGAAAGTGCTTTCTGACCGTTGCACAGTAAGGAGCTTACAGAGATGAAGGTGAAAAACCGTGTTTTTTGGTTTTTGTTTTTGCATTGCCTCTGAGAGCAAACTCATCCGACTACCGAGAACAGATAACTGAATAACTGAGCATTGTCGGTTATATTCTCTGCTGCCTTCTAGTCTTACTCCCTAGTTCTCAGGCACCTGTCCTACCATCTGTCCTTCCCTGCCTGTGGCAGGAGGGGATGGAGCGTGTGGAGTGTGGACAAGGATTCTGCTCCCTCCCACCCACAGGGCCCCCACTTACGAAGAAGGAGAAAAGCAAAGACAGGAGAGGAGATAGCCAGGATGGTTCCCTCCCCACCTTCAGGAATCATCCTTTGCTTCTTGTCTGAACCCCTGAAGAACCCTCCTGACCTAGCTTGGTTCTGATCTTCAAGGAGGACTCACAGTTACTGCCCGCTGAGAGCATCCAGCAGGTGTACAGGTTGTAGGTTAATGGGGCACTTTACAGATCTGTAAATGGGCCGAGCAATGCTCGGGGGATGCTACCTTCTGAACCAGGAGATCTTTCAGTGTCACTAGAATAACCACAGTGGTTACTATTTGAGAATTTACTGTAAGCCACAGTATTGTGATAAGTATTTTATAGCCATTATTGATATTAAGAACTTAGAAAGTATGAGAGATTAAGTTACATTGTCAAGGACCACCTCTAGAAGGGGACAAAACCAGGGTCTACATCCAGTTCTGGCTAAATCCAAAGTTGGTTTCCTAAACCACTATGCTGTTGTGCTTGTCCCGATTGGTTTGAGTCGGTCTTGCGGTGTCCCTTCACTTCTGGCCTCTCTGGGATAAGAAAGCAGTAGCATCCTCAGTGATGTGAGGGTTGCTGGTGACACCCTCTGTCTACATGACAGGAGACACTCTTACTGTAGTGCAGCATGGTGATAGTCATGTCACCTCTTCTAGTCTATTCAGCCATTGGTCAGCACTGAACCCTGCCACCTTCACCACCAGCCAGCTGGGAGTGATGCTAAAGAGATTAATGAGATATTCTAAATAATGTTTCCAGTGCAGTACCTGGTACATATTAAGTAATCAATCCTCATTTCCCCTTTCCTATATTCAAGGGCTATCTGGGAGAATTATGCTAGTTTCTCTGCAAAATCTTCCCCTCCTGTCTATCATTAGGCCGATTAAGTTTCTGCCTTTGGGAATTTTCTAATAACAGATATTTGATAAAACATTACAAAATTGATAGAGGATAAAAAGATATATATTTGGTAGTGGTGTGGAGTTTTGATAATTTTAATGGATTGGTACAGTGAATGATAATCTGCTGTAAAAAGAATTCAATCAAATAATAAAAATGCAGAAGTGTTTAAGGAAACTTTGCCAAAAATTCAATATTATTTTTAGGAATAAAACAAAAGTATTTGTTTTAATTTTAATTATTATTGTTGTTCTGGTGTTGTCTTATTCCTGCATCTGGCACAACAGCGCTGTGATGTTAAAGAGAGTGATGGTGCATAGGCGCAGTTTTGAGCAGCTGCTGAGGGGACAGAGATAAGAGATGTATTCAATCTGTCCACTGCTTTTCTTGCTTTGGAAAATCAAAACAGGAAGTGAATCTCAACAATCACTAGTAACAAAGCTGAAAGAAATAGAGCAGGATGGGACATTTTTCATAATGTTCTTTTGTTCTTTCCATAGTTTCCAAATACATTCAACTCACACCCCAGTGTGGTTGTCATGGGAGGAAGTGTCCGTGCTCCACATTGTCATTGAGAACCCAGTTCCTTTCATTTTACAGGGTTCCATCCTCAGCATGGTCTCTCACTGATTGCTAAAGGGCAGAGTTTAGAAGATCATACTTCAGGTTGTAGGATCAGGCCAGGAAGAGGTGACATTGTTTTTGGGGAAAAGTCAGTCACATGATGATCACATCATTGCAAAAAGAGAATAGGAAATGTCAACACACTTGAAATCTTTATGAACATATTTCATGGTCTCTGCCGTATGCTTTCTTTGAATTTCTTGCATCTACCCTTTCCCCATTCAACCTAATCTCAACCCAGCAGCCGATGGAATCATGGAAAAAAATCAATTAGATTATGCCACTGCTGTGCTCAAAACTCAGTAGTGGTTCTGTGGTTCTTGCAAAGTAAAAGTCATTGCAGTGACCTGCATGGCCCCACATGATTTGGCCCCATTATCTTGCTAACCCCAAGTTCTGCTACTCTCCCCCTCATTCACATGCTCCAGCCATGCCAGGCTCCTTAGAGTGTCTTTCCTTGCTTTGTCCTCTGCCTGGAAAGCTCTTACCCAGATGACCCTCACCTGAGCCTCCTTCAAGCTCAAATTCACTTTTTCAATGAGACCTACCATAGTCATCCTATTTAAATTTTTTTTTTTCCTTTTTGTCTTTTTTCATGACCGGCAACGGATCGCAACCTCAGTGTCGCGCCCGCACCGGACCTGGACCAGCAACGGGATCGCAACCCTCGGCATTGCGCCTGCACCTTGCTCAGCCAGTGAGCGGCCAGTCTGCATGTGGGATCCGAACCCTCGGCGGGAGCGCCGCGGCACTCCCAAGCGGCGCACTGTAGCAGCGCGCCACCGGGCCGGCCCCCTATTTAAATTTTTAATTGTCTTTCTACCTAATACTTCTGATCCCTTTTACCCTGTTCTCTTTCTTCCAGATTATTCAGTACCCTTTATATAGTATTTAAACTAGAATTATTGTCCATGCCTCTTTCCCCAGACAATAAGCACACTGAATAGAAATTCTCTATCTGGCTGTAAGGGTAGATATTTCTGTCCATCTTGTTCTGTGACATAACCCAAGTGCCTAGAATATTGCTTGAAACATGGCAGGCACTCAATTAATATTTGCTGAAGAAATGAATAAATGAGTTAGATAACAATGTAACTGGATAAAACCCATGGGCCCAATAAAATGAAAAGGCTCCAAGACTTTGTCCATATTTCAAAATAGGTTTAAATCCCGAACTTTGCATTAAATAACAGTGGACCTTGAAGGGTTCACTTTGCCTTTGTAATGCTCCATTTTCTCTTCTCCAAGAGGAGTATTTTCACCATATCTATTATATTTGCCATTCAAAGTCACTATAAACATTCAAACATTGAATAAGATCTTATATGAAGGGAAATAATTATAACAACAGAAGCACTAACCAACATTATTTGTCTAGAGATATGGTTTTCTTACTCTGCTTCTTGCACAGAGAATATGTGTTGCTCTTATCTGATTTCTAACTGAAGATTAGTAGGGGTCCCTGTAACAATTCGCTGAGCGCCTGCTGTCTAGCCACCATTTATCTGGCTACTCCTGATGAGAATCAGACTATATCCAGTTGGTTCCATAGAGAGGCCCTATGAGGAGGGTTGAGGGGACAGCCAAGGCAATGGGAGACACAAACCGGGCCAGTGCTACTGTCGTTGTACCTGTTGGGACTTTCTCTTGAAGAGCTGTCTCCCCTCTGGTCAGAAAACAAAGAATCCATAGGCTATCTGACGTCTCCATCTGCACCCCCATGCACTCAGTTTGAACTGCCAGGCCAAACCCTGAACGGAATGAAAAGAAATAAGTAATCCTTAATGCCTTATTTTGACTAAGAATCCTCCATTTTCTCCACTGTTGGGTTTCAGGTGGGCTCTAGGAGATGACATTGAAGACTGAAGCTTCCTTGTGCTTTATCATTCTCCATGAGTCTGTGTCCTCTGGATAGAACAAACATACTCTAACTCCACCCCTGAA